GAAATGTTTCTGTCAACGCATTTTGGGCAGTTTGTCCAAGTAGAGTTACCTTCGCACATACGCAAATGGGCAGTGGATCTGGTAGTGACGGGCAGCTGAATCAATCACATTGTGCAAGAAGGAATTTTCTTTTCACCAAAGCACTTGCAGCTTAAAATATCACATTGATGCGAAGCATACATTAGCCGGGGATGCTGCTAGGACTTTGGCTAACGCGTCACCCAACTTGCGACAAACCACTCACGAAGCATCGGGGGTTCAGTAAGTCTGCCTCGAACATATTGACTGACACAATTGCCAAGTGGATTGCAACAAACTGCACACCTGTTAATGTCGTTGAGAACACGCACTTTACATAGCTTTGGTTCCTCGTCTCAAGGACTTGAAGTGACTCTGCAAGAGTGACAGCGAGAGAGGATAAATGTTTACAGAGTTTTTTATTAACATGAATGTACAAGATGTCAATAAACATGTTAAGTGCGTATATTTTCCGCTTTTTTCTCGAGTCTGTTTGCTCATGCAAAATGAAATGCAATTAATATTGATTAAAAATGAATTATATTTAATCATGATTAATCAAAATTAATCCACAGTAACCCTGTGATGAATCCGATTGAAAATTGTAATTGTTTGAGAGCACTAATATATATATTATATATTAGTGTATACTTAGCTATTAGTATGTAGGTTTTAAAAAAAGTTGTATTTCACAGGAGAGAACCTGTGCTAAAAGAAAACTGTTCAAATTCTCTCTGAATTTAAGCACACATTCTTTGTGTTTATTCTCCATTTACTTCATTATATTGCATAAATGTTTGTTACAAGCTTAAATATAAAGTTTAAAAAGTGTCATTGCAGCCGCGCTATTCATCAAGTAATTGCAATTAATCGCGATCAATTACAGAAAATTGTGAAATTAATTAGTTAAGTCTTTTTTTTAATCAATACTAATACTAATTTTAACCCAGAATAAAAACCTGATGTGTTTATGTCAGCTGGTAGTTTCTCTGTGTCAGCATAAAAAGGATTTGTTTGACAGCAGTCACTGGACCGAACAGTTCTGAGAGCAGTTGGATTACCGCACGTTGGGAAAGTCTCTTGGAGGCTGTAACAAAAACCACGGCAGAGTCTCTTTTAGAGTGGTTTTCTTCCTACATATCTGATAGGAGTTTTAATGTGTCTGCAAACCAGATTAAGTCTGAATCCACAGAGCTGCTATGTGGAGTTCCTCAAGGCTCCGTGCTGGGACCATCCATCACATTTGTTCTGCTCGATGACATTCCCTCTTAACAGCACAATTGGGCATAATCCCAGCTAAAAAATCTGAGAAGTCGTTTATGAAGTTATTGTATTTCAGGGAGCATTAGGTGACAGTGCAGAAAACCTGGTTTGTGCGACTTTTGTAAATGATGCAGGTCAGACAATAAAAGTGATTTGATTTGATTTGATTTTGATTTGAGAAATGATATAAACAGAAACAAACTTATAGATGAGCAGCCACACATTTGTCCCTAAATGTGTATGGTAAAACCTTTTTACCTCCATATTACAATTAAAAAAGTTTTTATGTGTGTGAAATGTGTGTGTTGGTTGTTAATACATACAATGATGGCTGAAAACCTGTAGTAGTAATTGTAGTGTGGTGTATTACCCACTAGCCACCACAAGGGGGAGCATGGTCACAGTTCAGGTGTTATACAGTATGTTCTTTTCTATTTTTTGCACAAGTATCCTGTCTCTTTTTATTAACTTCTTCTTTATACTAAACTGTAAATAGACCCAGAGGAGAAGAAAACTCACCAATAAAAGAAAGAAAATGCAAATGCCTTCTAAAACAGAGAATCACGCTCAATGATCAGTCTGCTGTGAAACAATTACAGTTAGACAATACTAGTGATTTAAAGGCTTCATGAAAACACAGACATATGCACATATAGCCATGCTGACAGCTCAGTGAGCCTCATAGCATGAGAAGGTTGAGGAAGTGGCTGGTTTTAGAATTCTACAGCACTGCGGCACTCACACTGAAGCCTGTGGTTGTCTCAGCTCAACCCAACATCCTGTGAAACTTGCTTTAACCTGCTTTCAACTTCAACTGCGGACGTGCTATTGCATATGTTCAGCTTTAACTACTGTAATTCCACAGAAGTGATGCAAATATATGCAAATTTCATAGAAGTATCTTTTACTCACCCTGGTTCTTGATTATTGTACTGTTATTACCTTAATTTTTTAGAATGGTAAATGGCCTGTATTTGTATAGCGCTTTTACTAGTCATGAAAACACAGACATATGCACATATAGCCATGCTGACAGCTCAG